TAATATCAACCTCAATGAATCTGGAAGTGATCATGGAATGGGTGGATTTTTTTTCCCCTCCTTAAGAAAGAGAAAAATAAATTTGAGATTGTTTGCATATGGCTGAGAATATTTATGAACTATTCCCCTTGTTTCCTCATCACATATTTTACCCAGTGCGTTTGTGTGTGGTACAGAATAAATCTTTACAGGAAGGGCGGGGTGGAGAGGGGAAGAAAGCCGTTCAAGGGCTGGAGATCCATCAAGTGCCTGGGACGTCAGTGGTCGGGGGGTCTTGGGGTCTCCTGGCTTCAGGCTGGCTTGCTGCTGTCGAAGGGTTCCCCCTCCTCCTTGCTTCTGCTCCCCCTTTCCTCCCCTCAGGGGAAGTCTTTTGGAGGGAGAGTTTCAGATGCCAACACGGAAGGAATTAACATCAACTTGTCGCTCTGCTTTCTTTCACATCCCCTTCACTCTCACCAGAGCAGAAAGTTCAGCAGTAACGCTTTCACAACCTGGGTGCCGTCAGCCAAAAGAGATCATTAAACTCTATGGAGGCCAGATTGAGCCAGAGTCAGGGGAATGAATGAGTTGGCGGGTGGAAGAGCAAAGAACTGGCAGAGAACGTATTGGTGCTGGCCTTTGTCATTTGGTAAGACAGCACCGTGTTGGCATGCAAGCATGTGTGTCTAGCTCCCCCGGCCCTGCCTCTCAACACGGCTTGTCACCCAGAAGGATCCCAAGGGAGGCTAAGGGACTGGACATTCGGTCAGCAAGAGAAGCCAGGCTCCAAGCTGTTAATTTCTTCCTCTAGGTACTGGGGTTCAGAATTGGAGCTTAGGCTCTCTCGTGTTCTGCTGTACCTTGGATTATTGAGGGATATACTGACCAATAGCTCAGCTGGTAAAGAATCTGCCTCCAATTCCTGGGTCAGGAAGATCCTCTGGAGAAGGGAAAGGCTGCCCACTCCAGTACTCTGGCCTGGAAAATTCCGTGGACTATATAGTCCATGGGGTTGCAAAGAGTCGGACACGACCGAGCGACTGTCACTTCACCACTTCACTTCATCCTGACCGAGGCCGTGGACTGAGGAACAGAGAGCAGAATGATCGCCTGGTTTGCTAACACAATGGCAGTAACGGTCATTAACTGATATCCTAATAGGAGCCAGCTATCACGTGACTCACTTTCCCTGCATTGGCTGAGTTAATCCTCGCGGTGGCCCCGTAAGAGATCTTTAGTCCTGTAGTTGAGATGAGACAAGTGATACTCAGAGCGGTTGAGGAACTTACCCACGCTCACACTTCAGAAGTGGCAGGATCAGGGACATTTTCAGGGTTTGTGGAGTAGAAAATCAGTACAATTAATAGGGAATTTGAAAAGTCATGTTCAAGAACTTGGAGTGTTAGCCTCAGCAGTGTCACAGTAAACTCACCCTTATGTGTGTGTGTGTGTGCTCGGTCGTTTGTCTGACTCTGAGACCCCATGAGGTGAAGCCTGCCAGGCTCCTCTGTCCGTGGAATTCTACAGGCAAGAATACTGAAGTGGGTTGTCATTTCCTTCCCCTGGGGATTTTCCCAACCCAGGGATTGAACCCACATCTCTTGTGTCTCCTGCACTGACAGGTGTATTCTTTACCACTGTGCTACCTGGAAAGCCCTACAACTTACCCTGGGTGGGGTCAGAATTTAAACACAAGATTAGTTCTGTCATGTGGGCCCTTCTCTCTGCTTCATCTCCTCTTTTCTCTACTGTGGTTTTCTCCAATTCTCACCTTCACATTCCTGATCAAAAATGCACAAACAGGAATGATGCAACTGACATACACAGGACATCCTCAGAGCATCCAGACATGGTGTATTACATGGTGGGTCATAGTTGTGATGTAAGGCCATGAGGTCATAGTTGTGACGTAAGGAGGAGAAGGGGATGATAGAGGATGAGATGGTTGGATGGTATTACCGACTCGACGGACATGACTTTGAGCAAGCTCTAGGAGTTGGTGATGGACAGGGAAGCCTGGCGTGCTGCAGTCCATGGGGTTGCAAAGAGTCAAACTTGACTGAGCGACTGAACTGAACTGAAGGCAATGACCCTGGCTGTTCTCAAACTTTACCCATTCATCTTGAGAAATTGCTGGAGAGTTTTAAATTTCTCCAGAATCATCCTCCTAATGAGCTTCAGTTGATGTTCTAAGACTCTCTTACCAAATTTCACGATGTTTCCAAGACTGGCACTCAGGCAGTAACCAGCTCAGGGGTCCAGGGCAATTTTGGAGTTAAAACCTGCAACGTCTCCTACCCCATCCATGTCTCTTTCCCTCAGATGGTATCAGCTCATAATATTTCAACAGGAATTCAATCTGATTGTTCCTTTTTCCATTAGAAGCAAGATTTTGTTATCATCTCCATAACTGAAAGGGGCAGCAGGATTTGTGGAAGCAAACAGACCCAATATAAATCACAGCTATTTGGGTGGGGGTGGGGTGGGGTGCTAAGAAGTTTCACTGTTGAGTATCCACCCTCTGCTGGTGCTCTTGAATAGGCCTGCAGTCCCATCCCAGTCTAGACAATTACTACGGGGAATATAAACATTTTTCCCAGCCCCGCTCAGTCTTTTTCTCCCAAACTGGAAACACAAAGCAGATGATGAAGTCCAAGTTCAAATGCTGCACCAGGGAGAAGGAAGTGTTGAGAAACCACATCCAACCTCCAGCCTGTTTTCAAACATTCCAGTAATTGTTCAATGGCCGTACCTTGGGCTGGTGTCATTTCATTGTCTCAGACAAAGGCTCTCTATGAAAAGACAGACATGGATTATGTGAGGAGGGGCTGCCAGAAGGCACATTTGGGAAAAATCTGAACAAGAGCACAACACTCTGGGCTCTTCCTCTGGGGGCAACTCCTCCCTTTCATCTGCTGGAATTAACATCCAGACTGATTCCCATCACCTCAACGTCATGCTCTAAACCAGAGTCTGGAAACACAGCCTTGGGGGTGGGGGTGGGGAGGCAGAGTGGTGGGACTGATAACGCAGATGCAGTGGCCGGTGACTAGCTGTCTCTGGCTTTGTTCTCAGAGCCTAAGTAGATAGTTTCTAGGCTAGAGAATGACTGTGAGTGATGGTGACATCCTATAGCTGCTCCTTTGAGTATTTTGTTCTGTTCATAATATATATAGTTTTTAAGTTGATATGTTGCATTTTCCTTTTTATTCAGTTCAAGAAATTTTCTTTCAGGGAAGTCTCTGTTCTGTTGTTATATGTAAATGGATTATTGGCCAGATAATCACTGGGGCAAGGCTGGAAAAGCCTTCTGCCGTATTATCTCCCCTTGGATGTTCCCGCTTTGAGTGACAGGTTTCCATGCAGCCAGGGTTGCACATTTCTGGGGGAGCCCACTGCCTGTGTTATTCACCCTTCCATTTTGGACTGCTGTGGGTGTCCCTGCTGGCTCAGACAGTAAATAATCCACCTGCAATGCAGGAGTCCTGGGTTCGATCCCTGGGTCAGGAAGATCCCCTGGAGAAGGGAATGGCTACCCACTCCAGTATTCTTGTCCGGAGAATCCCATGGACAGAGAAACCTGGAGAACTACAGTCCATGGCGTAGCAATGAGTCAGGCACAATTCAGTGGCTAACACTTAAAATAACCCCTCCAAATTAAACTCAAGAATGCCTCCTTGATGTCACTGGTTCTCTGGGGGCAGCCCTGGACTTGGGTACTCACTGTCCTATGTCCTGTCTTCCTGGAAGGCTTGACCCCTTTCCTTCTCTCGTTGGGTTAGCCAAGGCTAAGGCTTCCCCCAAATTTGGTGCCTATCTCTGTCCTAAGATGTCTGGATAGCTGTTATTTCCTTATTTAATAGCCTTTTCTTCATACAAAATTATTATATGGGCTAATTGCAGAATATTGGCAACATTTGGATAAGCAAAATAAGAAAATGAAAGTTGATAATTATTATGGTATCTCCTGGAGATGAGAACTATAAAGGCTTTCAAAGATATCCTGATGGTTGTATTTCTGTGTTTACATTATCTTTTTAAAAAATGCATTAGCAAGTGTTTACTGTTTGGTTAAGGTTCACTTTTTCAGGCTGCTTAATACTCCCCTATGGCATGGTGTACTGGCTGTCAGATTCTCTTTGGTGTGTGTTCAGTTCAGTTCAGTTCAGTTCAGTCACTCGGTCATGTCTGACTCTGCGACCCCATGGCTGCAGCATGCCAGGCTTCCCTGTCCATCACCAACTCTCAGAACTTGCTTAAACTCATGTCCATTGAGTTGGTGATGCCATCCAACCATCTCATCCTCTGCCATCCCCTTCACCTCCCGCCTTCAATCATTCCCAGCATCAGGGTCTTTTCAAATGAGTCAGTTCTTCACATCAGGTGGCCAAAGTGTTGGAGTTTCCGCTTCAGCATCAGTCTTTCCAATGAATATTCAGGACTGATTTCCTTTAGGATAGACTGGTTGGATCTCCTTGCTGTCCAAGGGACTCTCGAGAGTCTTCTCCAGTACTATGGTTGAAAAGCATCAATTCTTCAGTGCTCAGCTTTCTTTATAGTCCAACTCTCACATCCATACATGACTACTGGAAAAACCATAGCCTTGACTAGATGGACCTTTATTGGCAAAGTAATGTCTCTGCTCTACAATATGCTGTCCAGGTTGGTCATAACTTTTCTACCAGGGAGCAAGTATCTTTTAATTTCATGGCTACAGTCACCATCTGCAGTGATTTTGAAGCCCTCAAAAATAAAGTCTCTCACTGTTTCCATTGTTTCCCCATCTATTTGCCATGAAGTGATGGGCCGATGCCATGATCTTAGTTTTCTGACTGTTGAGTTTTAAGCCAGCTTTTTCACTGTCCTTGTTCACATTCATCAAGAGGCTGTTTAGTGTGTGGGGGCACTAATTAGAGAGGAGGGACAGGGTCTGGATGCGCTCCTGTATGCTGAAGTCCCCGTGGCTGCATCCCGTGGAAAGGAGGTTGACTGGAGACACTTTCCTTGCTGTTCCGTGCCAGCCCTTGAGCGAGGCCTGACCAAGGCCCTGAAGAAGCTGGATGATTACCTGAACACCCCTCTGCCGGAGGAGATCGATGCCGACACTCGCGGGGATGATGGAAAGGGCTCCCGGCGCAAGTTCCTGGATGGGGATGAGTTGACACTGGCCGACTGCAACCTGTTGCCCAAGCTCCATGTGGTCAAGGTAAGGGCGCTCTACCTGCGGGTGCCCCCAGGTCCAGGTCCATCGAAGGCCCGGGTCTCTCGCGAGGATGAGACCAGGACAGGGCCACCTGCTGATGGAGAATCAGAGTTTGAAAATCTCATGAACAGGGACCCAGAGTCAACCTCTGCTGCTTGCTGGCTGTGTAGCCCCTCTGAGCTCCAGCAACACAGGCATATATTGCTTAACCAGGGCTGTTGGGAGACTAAATGTGGCCTGAAAACGCCTGCCATGTTGTAAGGGCTTCTCTGGTGGCTCAGTGGTAGAGAATCTGCTGCCAAGACAGGAGACGTGGGTTCGATCCTGGGTCCGGAAGATCCCCTGGAGAAGGAAATGGCAACCCACTCCAGTACTCTTGCCTGGGAAATCCCATGGACAGAAGACCCCGGTGGGCTCCAGCCCTTGGAGTCACGAAAGAGTACGATATGACTTAGTGGCGAAACAACAACAATCCTATTATATGTAGTTACATATAGTCTTATCACTCCAAAGACCTCTTCCTTACCTTTTCATCATAGGTTTTCACTGGCTACCCACTACCCCACGATCTCTATTAAGCATGCTCTCATATGCGTGTTTTCTTTGTGGGCAGACCCACCTTCTGATTTCCTGTAGCCACTCCTTGGGGCAGGCAGACAGCATCTTCCTCTTCTACCAGGTGAAGAGCTGGAGGTTGCAAGAAGTGGTAGTGTTTTCTTGCTACCATTGCACTTCCCAATCATGACTAACGGAGAGCGTAATCTTTCCTATACAGCCTTAGGATACAAGAGATGGGAAGAAGAGGTGAATTCTGAGGTCATCCCAATCTCCCACCCCAAAGTGGACCCCTTCCTGTGTGTCTGTGACAGGCTTCAGTGCAGCTGTGACTGCACATTTCTGATGACAAAGAGCCCTCTGCCTACCAAGCCAACGCTACCATTTTGGACGGCTCTAGTTATAAGAACCATCCTGCCTTACATGGAGCCCAAACCTGCCTCCTTGCTCGCGTGGTTCTCTGGAGCAGCACAGAACAGGGCTGCTCTCTTCATCTCATTTGAAGACAGAAGTTTTGTCCCCTGCATTTCTCTGAACTGGGCTTCCCTGGTGGCTTGCTAAGTCACTTCAGTTGTGTCCGACTCTGTGCGACCCCATAGATGGCAGCCCACCAGCCTCCCCTGTCCCTGGGATTCTCCAGGCAAGAACAGTGGAGTGGGTTGCCATTTCCTTCTCCATCCCTGGTGGCTTAGATGGTAACAAATCTGCCTGCAATGTAGGAGACCTGGGTTTGATCCCTGTGTTGGGAAGATCCTCTGGAGAAGGAGTTGGCCGCCCACTCCAGTATTCTTGCCTGGGAAATCCCATGAACAGAGGAGCCTGGCGGGCTACAGTCCATGGGGTCACAAAGAGTCAGACATGACTGAGAAACTGAATAACAGCAACCATAACATATACATGTATATATGTTGTTTTTCAGATTCTTTTCCATTATAGGTTAGTATAAGATACTAGAGTATAGTTCCCTGTGCTATACAGTAGGGCCTTGTTTAGATATTTTATTAATATATACAGAAGTGCATTTATGTTAATTCCAAACCTCCTAATTTATCTCTCCTGCTCCCACTATCACCTTTGAGGACCATAAGTTTGTTTTCTAGCACATCCTTTTCTGACCCTCATCAGTCCAGAGAAAAAGACAGTAAGATCGTAGAGCTAGACTGCTCTCTATTTCTACACGTGTTGGTATCTTACTGTCTCAGTCAGACAAAAAGCTCTGTGAGGATAGTCTTCTCCAGGCCTAATGGTGGGTACATGGTGGCCCTTTGATTAACACTCATTGGTTGACCATTTGATCACCTAGCTTGTGATGCTCAGTTGCTTTCCACCCGTCACTAAGGAGAATCAGATGCAATCATTTATCAGCTGGATATCTGCCTGTTGGTTTTTGGCTGATGTCCTGAGCTGGAAATCAGAACCCTGCATTCAGAGCACACACCAGTTGGAGTTGAAAACATAGGCTGTGCTTGCCCTGGTGCTCCCAAGGGATGCATCAGGGCTGGAGACTGGGAGGAAATCATGCTTGCCAGGGCTGATGGGCAGAGCAAATGCAATCCATTCATATGAAGACACTTTGGGGTTCAGGGCCAAGCCGATGGTGATTTGTAAGTCTCACCAAGCTGTATGTCTTTGAAGTTATTAATAACTGCATGCTCACCCCACCTCCAAAACATCCTTTATTCCCTTTTCCTAAGGACAAAGCGGCACCATTATGGGTGATGATTCTATCAGTAACATTATCAGAGTGAGGTCATGGGAAGAACGCCATTCTAGAAGTCCAGAGACTCAAGTTCTGTCGTGGTTGTTGAGTTGCTCAGTCATGTTTGACTCTTTGCAACCCCATGGACTGTGGCATGCTGGACTTCCCTATCTATCACCAACTCCCGGAGTTTGCTCAGAGTCGTGTCTATCAAGTCAGTGATGCCATCCAACCATCCCATCCTCTGTGGTCCCTGTCTCCTCCTGCCCTCGATCTTTCCCAGCAGCAGGGTCTTTTCCAATGGGTCAGCTCTTCACATCAGGTGACCAAATCATCGGCGCTTCAGCATCAGTCCTTCCAATGAATATGCAGGATTGATTTCCTTTAGGATGGACTGGTTTGATGTCCTTGCTGTCCAAGAGACACCACATCTAGCAGCAGGAGCTGGGACAAGTCGTCTCCTCTTTGGGGAAGTCGTTTTTCTCTTCTCTAAAAGAAGAGGTGTGGATGGTTATTTTCCTTCTCACCTCTTACCCTCTCTTCCTCCCCATCTCTCAGTCACACGTGGTTGGACCACCCAATCAAGAATCATGTGTCCAATCAGGTGGACAAATGGACCTCCCAGGCCCCACGCTTCATCCTCCGGTTCCTCCAGTTCCTTCCATCCCTAGACTCCCAGTTACACCCATCCTTGAATGATGTTCAGTGTGTTATTCACTTGGAGGAGCTGGAGATCGGAAGGAGGATGACCCACAAAAGGACAAAGGCTGGGCCTTGCTTCCCATCTCCTTGGATTTCTGCTGATCCAGCTTATCAGAGCCCAGAGCCCTGGCAAACCTCTGAAGTGCAGAAAATGTGAAAGGAGAGCCAAGTCAGACCTCCAGTTTGGCTTCAGACGCCAAGACTTAATCTGGGCTGGGGGAGCTAACTGTTTTCATATGAAAGCAAATTCAGAACATGAGCATGGAGGTTCCTGCAGACGTCAGAGCTTCTTCCGCGCACATCCCCTCTCTCTCTTTCATTGGCTTTCCTTCAGCTTATCTGCATCCTTGGAGGCCGAGTTGCTCTGGCCCTGCTGCTCGCTGACAGCCTGGTTTGAACTTTCATTGTCTGGCTGACTCCTATTCTCATCTCCCGGCTCGAACCAACATGTGAAGAAGGAACCAGCTCTGGTCAAGCTCAGGGTGTATGGATCCGGGCAGGGAGGGGCGTGTGGGACACTTGTCGCCGCCCCCAAGACCCTTGTTCCCCACCCCACCCCCGGACCCTCACATGGCACAGGGACCTGTAGGGAGCTATACATATAAACACAAATATATATTCATATGTTGCATCTCTGTTGTTTTCAAGCTCAAATTATATCCTTTAAAAACCTGAAAGTGAATTCCAGCCCCAAGAGACTCAAGGGGGCCCCTGGGATCAGTTTATTTTTTTTTTTTAATGGATGTCTTGACCTTATTATGGCTCTTTTTCTTTCCTTTTCTCCATTTTTTAAGTTGAAGTATAGTTCATGTGCAATATAAGTTACAGGGGTACAACAGTGATTCACAATTTTTAAAGGCTCTCCTCCATGTATGGTGATATGGAAGTCACTCCGTCTTGTCTGACTGTGACTCCATGGCCTGTAGCCCTCCAGGCTCCTTTCTCTGTCCATGGAATTCTCCAGGCAAGAATACTGGAGTGGGTTGCCATTCCCTTCTGCAAGATATCTTCCCTACCCAGGGATCGAACCTGCATTGCAGGCAGATTCTTTATCATCTGAACCACCAGGGAAGCCCATACTCCATGTATAGTTACTATAAAATACCGACTATATTCTCTGTATTATACAATACACACTTATAGCTTATTTTATACACAGTAGTTTGTGCCTCTTAATGCCCTACCTCTGTTTCACCCTTCCCTTCTGGTAACCACTAGTCTGTTCTCTGTATCTAGTTTTCTTTTTTAGATTCCACATGTAAATTGTAACATACATTATTTGTCTCCCTCTGTCTGACTTATTCACTTAGCATAATGCTAAGTCCCCCCATGTTGTTGCAAATGGCAGAATTTCATTCTTTTTCATGCCTGAGTAGTATTCCATTGTGTATATGTATCACATCTTCTTTATCCATTCATCTGTTGATGGACATTTAGGTTTCTCCCATGTCTTGGCTATTGTAAATAGTACTTTTATGAACATTGGAGATAATTTATCTTTTCAAATTAGTATTCTCATTTTTTTTAAAGATATTTACTCAGGAATGGAACTACCAAATCACATGATGGTTCTGTTTTTAGTTTTTTGAGAAACTTTCATATGTTTTCCATAGTGGCTGCACCGATTTGTATTCTGTGGGCTTTTTTTCATTCTCTCTGAAAGTTTCAAGCTGCTTCCCTCATTGGAGCCTCCACCCCTGCATAGATTTGCTCCTGACCCAAGACAGCTTCTTCTTAAGGCTGTGGGCAAGCCAAAGGCCCCTTCGTCTTGCAGTGAAGAGAGGGCTTTGTCCAAGGACCCTGATCCCATCACTTGTGCTCATTGGCCACACCTATCCTGGTGGCTTCGGTACTGACCTCCCCAAACCAGTTATTTTAACCAAGAGAATTTAATATAAAGAAGTGCTAAGTACCTAAGAACTAGGGAGGCAAAATGTAAAATGTACCTTATGGTTCCTTCTTCAGGGCAGGGGGCAAAGTGAAGAGTTTGGAATGATCAAAACTTGAACTATATAATAGCCAAGACATGAAACAACCTAAATGTCCATTGACAGATGAATGGATAAAGAAGATGTGATGGGTCTCAATGAATTCTGACATTAGATAATGTTTCTTGAGCACTTAAAGCCAGCACCTCCCCCAGATCACTTTATATATATTAACAAATTTACTACTCCAAAATAGGTCATCTTATTATCTCCATTTTAGAGAAAAAGAATTTGGGGGTCAGAAAAGTTAAGTAGCTAGTCCAAGATCACACAGTTGTCAAGTAATGGGGTCAGCATTACAGATCCAGTAACTGGGATCCAGAGCCCACACTTTTAACCACTATGCTACCGTGTCTTTCAATACAAACACCACTTCCCCAGAAGGCTCAGGTCTACAGCCCTGAGTGTGGCAGATGAGGGAGAGAACAGAAATCACCATCTGTTCACCTCCACATACCCTGAAGCTCCATATGCATTCCAGCACCTAACTTGCATATTTTTTGCTTTGTATTCCCTTCTGTAGATAAGGCTGGATGGGGGAAGAAAAAAGTTGTCTGTAATTCTATCAGTCAGACATATCTTCTGCTAACAGATTGGTGTATATACTTCTGTTCATCATACATATTTCTCCTAATGCTTTATACTGTACTTCCGACTGAACAGTCTCTTGAAGCATTTTTCAAGTCCCTGCAATTTCCTCTGCAGCATCATTTTTCATGGCTCTCCGGTATGCCACTTCATGTATATATGACAACATATTTATCCATTCATGTGTTGTTGGACATTTGTGTTGGGTACCTTTTTTTGCTATTTCCAAATAGTCCTGAATTCCTATTTATTAGAAGCTAAATCTTCTTGTACACTCACGATATTTCCTAAGGAAAGGAATACCTAGAAGCAGAATTACTAGATCAGAGGACAAATCATAGTTGCTTGGGAAAATGTAATACAACTAAATAAATAAAACAGCACAGGATAAATAAAACAAACAGTGTTGCATTAAAAATGCACAACCATCACCTTGCACAACAAGCGTCTTGCTGCTGGCCCCGGGGGACACGTGGAGCGTCTCCCCGCTGTGCACACACGGGGCCACGTCACTGACACTTCCCGGTGATCTATTTCATGCTTTAACACCATCTCTATTGCAGATTGTGGCCAAGAAGTACCGCAACTACGATTTCCCGGCTGAGATGACGGGTCTGTGGCGGTACCTCAAGAACGCCTATGCCCGGGACGAGTTCACCAACACCTGCGCGGCCGACAGCGAGATCGAGCTGGCCTACGCGGACGTGGCCAAGCGCCTCAGCCGATCCTGAACTTGGCCGTCTCGCCCCATCGCTGCTGCAGAAGGACTCCACCTCTCGCTGAGGACTCTGGCTTCACACACTCCTCTTCCATGCTGCCTCTGGAAACTTCTGTCTCCATCAGGCCACATCTCACCGGCATCATTGGAACCACCCCCCCCACCCCCCGCCCCACGCCTGCTGTCTTTGACCAAAGTCAGCACCAGCCCCCTCTGGTCAGACAGGAATCCTGCAAGCAGACATGAGAGAAACAGTCAAGCTGTCAGCCTTTCGGACCTGGACTGGGTTCCGTGTGTTTGGGGTCGGTGCCTGGGGGAGCCCTGTCTGTGGGATTGTCACTGGCCCCTTTTGCCAATATTGAAATATCTCTTCAGATGCATTAGAAACCTGCAACACGCTGTCCTCGTCCACCCTCCTCTTTGTCAGTAACTCCAAGGCCAAACACCGACTTAGTTCTTATTAGAAAGAGGTGCAGGGCTGTGAGAGTGGATGGGGCAGACGTGGGTCTGGGCACCTGTTAGACACACCTCCAGTCACTCACCACTTTCTGGCACTCTTGTCACTTCGGGCACTGAAGGCAAGATTAGAAAACTATTTCAGACAGCCTCAGTTTTCTGCAGGGCTGGGCGCAGTCTGATGCTATCACGTACTTGGCTTGATGCTGATCTCTATGCTTATCTGTCTAGGCCTTGCCAGGAAGGGAAATTAGCATGCTATTCCAAACTGGGGTGACTGGGAAGGGGAGGGGAGGGGAGGAGTGTTGATGCCAAAAGGCCCGTGGGGTCTACCAGCCATGGGGTTTGCTTGCTTATGGGAGTGGTTTCATTGGGGATTACATGCCTGGGTTTGACTATGTTTATCCATGATTGAATTTTGGTCTCTGAGAAAGCAGATGGGAGTAGGGGTGGGTGGGGGGATGGATGCACGAGGCTAAGACCTTTGTATGAGGCTCAGTGTTCCCTGGGAATCTTTTAGATAGATCTTTTCTCTTATGATCTAAGTCTCGAACCAATGATATCATGTAGCTGCCATCTTCATGGCAAAATACCAACAATTGACCAAAAATGACTCTCCAGCTTCTTCAAGTTGTTCCTGGATGTGGGTCTGCTAGCCTGGTGCTCTCTGATTCAGCTTCAGCCTCTGACGTGCAAGAGATACATTTGGGAGGTGGCTTGATCGTGGAACCTTAGGAAGAAAGTCCGTGGGCCTTTCTGATTGGGAAACCATGTGGTTTAAACTCGGAGGAAAAATGCATAGGCATCTGGGTAAATTTTCCTACCATCTGCCTCAAATGCCCGATGAAAAAGAGGAAGCTGTTTTTTAGCTAATATTTCACTCTGTAGTCATTCTCCTTGAGTTTCACCTTAAAAGCTTACCCTGCCTGAACCCAGGGACCTGTGCAGAGGAAACGAAGAAAAATGAGCTAGTCATCAGCTCCCTCTTGCCATGAATGCCCTGGGAGAAAGTCCACCCGCCGCAGACCCTCACCTTCAACAATCCTTCCTTCTGTGTTGCCTGTTGATGGAGGCCGAGGCTCCCAAGTGCCCGAAAGCCCCAGGACTTGGCTCGCTGCTCAGTGAGGGCAGGACAGCACGGGGCCTTCCTGTAGAAACATCATGAGGTTCTAACCCAAGTAACATCTGGACCTACCTGCCTCCAGGGATCTCTGGAGAGAAAGGGGATTCAATGATCAGAGCAGAGGGGTAGAAGCAGAGGGTCTCCTTTAGCCCAGGGAGAAAGATGCCATTTCTCGGTGGGGCATCCTATAAGTCCGAGACCTTTCATTCAGAAGCAGAAAGAATTGATTCATTTCCTCCTCTAAGGGAACCTTTGCAGGACTCCCTGATAACTTTGTCCCTGGAGATGTTTGAAAAGGCGAACTGATGAGGAAACAGTCCTTCTGACAATAGGGGAAAGCCTCATGCTGGTCTCATGGGAGATGAAAGCTTAAATTATCCCAAAGGCCTGTTCATTAGTGTGAAATCCTGTTGTCCTCAGAGACCCTTCCCTGAACATCACAGCGTAAGGGCAATGATCTAAGAGGCAATTGACTTTCCCAAGACCCAGAAAGGTGCTGTTCTTGAGGTATACCTGAGAAGCACAGCCAGAGAGCGACACTGAAAATGGCAGGATGCCCAGGCAGAGAAGCTCCCCAGGTGGAGTAGCACCCAAGGCAGAGTACCTCCCACTGAGGATTTTTGAACACTGAGGACACTGGATATTCAGAATCCAGCAATTGGCAAGTCTTTAAACACAGCCTTTAAAAACAAACAAGCCAAACTAAATCAATATTGTTGGTTCTAGCTGTTCCTTCTGTGGTTGACTTAGTTTTACATCAGTAACCATGTTAGGGCACAGGGGTGGGGTTGGAGCAGTTATATGACCCATGGTAACCATTTAACAGAGGGAGAGGAGTTATAGATGGTTGACATTTCCTGGTACTCAGTCCAGGAATATCTTTTTATTGCAGCAGTAGAATCATATGATGCAACCGACTATTGATTTAGAGCTTAAACGTCTATGACAGGTTTATCAGAGTATTTTTAAATAATATTGCCTTATGATGATTCTTTTCCAAAGAGATTTTTCTCCACATCCTTCAGTCTCCCTGGGTTTTGGCCATAACCTTGTCATATCATCTCCCAACCACAATGTGTAAAGGTCCTCTGGTGTCCCCAGAATCAGCTCAGGGAGTATTGAAGGTCTGCAGTTTGACCCTGAACTCCAGAGTGTTGAGATGGGAAATGACCGTTGTTATTGGTCTGGCATGCATATCAATACCTCAAAAAGCATCTCAGTGGCAGTAAGAGGGGATTTACTTGGGTTGAGATTCTATTTTACTCTAGATTTATTTCTCTTCTTTGGTTTTTACATCACTTTTTTTTTTTTTTTTTGGTGGGTTGGCATAGTGTGAGGCAGAGGGAGAAATAAGAATCACATTCAGAACAATTGTGTTGAATTTACCCATCTTCTCAGTCCTGCCTGCCTCTCAGGTTGCCCTGAGAGAGTGTATTGGATAAGATTTTAACAGCTATAAAAGATGAGCTGGATCAGTAAAATCCAGACTTGTCCAGCACATAGCTCCTTCTACCGCGCACCTTTATTACCTGACACTTCAGAATCACCAGTATGAGTTTGGCTGTCTTGTTTTGAACAAACAATATTGTTTTGAAAAGTGAAACCCACACTCCATTGGTTTGTTTGACCACAGGTCTCAAACTAGTTTCGTCTTCCCAAGAAATGACACTGTCGTCAGTGTTCACTTATCTTGCTGGTGGGGCCATGGAAATGCTTGATCTTTTCATTAGAAAGAGGCCATGCCAAGAAGGAGTGTTCCTGGGCTGAATTTTCTAGCGTTTGTCAAATGAAACAACGGAAATACTTTGTAACACCTGTACCCACTGGCCGCTCTGCAGAAAGACAAGACCAAGCATCTTAGAATTGTTGTAGAATGGATCACATCTGGAATGGACCCTGAAGATCTAAGATCCTAGAAATCAGCAAGGTCCGGACAAACAGAATGAAAAAGGAGGCAGTGTCAGGAAGATACAGGTCTACCTAGTAAGTTTTCCATCAAGAGAAAACAGTGAGAGTTTGTGTCTGAAATTAAGTTGGTCTAGGGGCAGGGGACATCCAGTACATAGGTCTTTGACTCCTATTTCCAAGGGCCAGGAAGCCAGTTCAGCAGCAGAGGGAGCCAAGATGCTGGTGACTTCTCCTTGGAATGAGCAGCATTAACCCATGATTAATGATTCCCAAGGGATCACTTCCTTTTTTTAATAATAACATTTAAAAGCCTCTGGAACATTAGAAAAAGAAGTGTGCATGGGAAGCATCCTGGTTCTGATGTGAGGCCCGAAGTGTTCACATCTTGGCTTTGGGACCCTCCTAGCACACGCGGCCCATTGGTTTCTACCCACGGCTCTTGGCGTGTAATCCAAACAACACATGCCCTCCTATGAATGCATCATCCACTCCCTTTGTCATTGTTCTCCTCCCAGCTTAGTTTCAGGATCCTTTCATTTTGTGATTAGGTATGATCCAAAGTGTGCATAGTCTTACTTAATGTTACTTAAGGAAATGGATCCAACGTTCCCCTCCTCAACCAAAAAGAAAATTCAAAATTGCCTCACTGTAGAGCTTGGGTTAATCTATTTCTATAAAAGCAATCTTTTTTTTTTGACAAAATATAATTTTAAGGATACAGTCATCTATGGTATTTATGTATAGAGATTTTGCAATATTGACTATGCATATGCTTAAAATATAAAGTATCTGACTGATGTTTGAACTTGTCTTTCTTTCCTGACCACCTGGCTATCCCATTTTATAAGCAGGAGAGTTAACTAATTTAGCAAAGAAGCCTAGCTTTTGTAAAAGATCAAACATTTCACTTTATAAAAACACTCCCAATGATGGTCACTTGATTTTTCTCAAGACCTTTAACTGTGGTGATAAAATAACAGGACTTGCTTTTAAGCCTTAATAATGTAAAATTCCTTTTTAATGAAGACATTGCTGAGTGTTTTCCTCATGAATCTGAACCAGTTATAAATTTGTTTTCCGATCTTGATTGGTATTGACTAATTCAAATAAAGTTGGTTTATTTTCAAATAGTACAAAATCGATCATCAGAGGTCTTATTGAAGGTGGGGATTTCCTATGCTGTTTGAAAAGAGTATGAAATACTTCTTTTTTCCAAATGTTATTTGATTTTTCCATTACAGAAGAAAATATGTTCATTCTTCTTAAAATACAAAAGCAAATAAAATTTTTAAAAAATGAAATAGGGAATTCTCTGGCTGTCCAGGCGTTAGACCTTGGCGCTTTCACTGCCCTGGTCCATGTTCAATCCCTTGTGGGGGAACGAAGGTCCCACAAGCCATGTGGCGCAGCCAAAAAAAACATGTAATAAAAAGAATGAAACAATGCCATTTGCAGCAACATAGGTAGACTGGAAATGATTATACTAAGTGATATAAGCCCAATCAAAGACAAATGTCACGTGGTAT